AATGACCTTGCCTTGTCAGGCATGCTCTCCCGGTAAAAGAAGAGCGACAGAACGCCGCCAACCAGAAGGTCAACACTCCTGGAAGTGTCAGTTTGCTGGTGGACTTATGGGGACGATTTCTTAAGATCAGGGTGGCATTCTGTGGCATACGCGGCAGGAACGGTAAGTATTCCCATTCTTCTTTAAATTGAGATAGAAACTAATGAAATTTATTACAACATCACTTTAAAGCCCACTTTCATCTTTCCCCCATACCTGCATTTTCTGCTCTGCTTGCACTGTTATTGAAAAAACATCCGTATGCATAGCTGTTTTTCCAGGTTTTTGGTCCTTCTTCCTCCCCAGGTCGGCAGGGTGGCACCCCAATATAACAGCTTTCTTCTGCCAGGGCAGCTTGATGACGCGCCTTCAAGTGGTGTGTCTTTGACAACCCTGGCTCACAGGAAGTAGGCTGAATGATTCTGAGTTTTATTCAACCTGTGAACCACCAATGGATCGCACAGCAATGCGTCTGTAGGAGACAGCACTGGAGAGGATGTGAGTGTTGCTGCAATAGCTACTTATTAATTTTATTCCATGCTGAATATCAAATATTAAATATTTGTTTGTAACTAGAGTTAGGCTTTAATTACTGACATTCATGCACCAAGACCTTGAACTTTGCGTGGACAGGATTAAAAATGTAATCCATTTAGTCACTGAGCAGCATCTGATGGGTGTTTTCACACAGTTTAAAAATCAATTAGAACAATGTATTACATCTGATGGAAGTTTTGCTGACATTTAAGAACAAAAGCTTTACAACAAGTAACGGTAAACCCCTGCAGGCTGGGTGAATTTTTTGCCATAATGCACAGCATACTTGCACATTATGGCACACTTACCTTATGGCATGTATCTTAGTACTTTAAAGGTGTGGGCATGTATCTTAGTACTTTAAAGGTGTGGGCATGTATCTTAGTACTTTAAAGGCGTGGGCATGTGTCTTAGTATTGTAAAGGCGTGGGCATGTATCTTAGTACTGTAATGGCGTGGGCATGTATCTTAGTACTGTAATGGCGTGGGCATGTATTTTATCACTGTAAAGATGTGGGCATGTATCTTAGTACTGTAGAGGTGTGAGCATGAATCTTAGTATTGTAAAGGCGTGGGCATGTATCTTAGTACTCTAATGGCGTGGGCATGTATCTTAGTACTGTAAAGGTGTGGGCATGTATCTTAGTACTGTAAAGGCGTGGGCATGTATCTTAGTACTGTAAAGGCGTGGGCATGTATCTTAGTACTGTAATGGCGTGGGCATGTATCTTAGTACTGTAAAAGACATACAAGGAGTGCGTATCCAGGCCTGTCTGGGAAAATTCAGTCTTACTGATCCCTTCTCTCAGCAAGCACCCTGTGAACATGCCTGTAACTTGGTAGGCATGCTCACAGATCCATCCTCTTTGAAAGCCCAGTTACACCTTCATCTGTAACTTTTGCCATTTAGTTTTCAGGACTTGACAGTAGAGGGCATTTGTATATTATTTATTCTAGCTTGCAGAGTGAGAATTTATAATATGCACGCAAAAAGGTCCACATCACTGATAGCAAGATTAATAGGTCCATGTTGGGTAATTTATTTTATACTGTCCCAAAAGTCCTTGTGCAGGTTTAAACTTTAACGACTTCAGATATATAAATGTTACAAACTTTTAATAAACTCCATTTAAAAGATTAAAATGACCTTGCCTTGTCAGGCATGCTCTCCCGGTAAAAGAAGAGCGACAGAACGCCGCCAACCAGAAGGTCAACACTCCTGGAAGTGTCAGTTTGCTGGTGGACTTATGGGGACGATTTCTTAAGATCAGGGTGGCATTCTGTGGCATACGCGGCAGGAACGGTAAGTATTCCCATTCTTCTTTAAATTGAGATAGAAACTAATGAAATTTATTACAACATCACTTTAAAGCCCACTTTCATCTTTCCCCCATACCTGCATTTTCTGCTCTGCTTGCACTGTTATTGAAAAAACATCCGTATGCATAGCTGTTTTTCCAGGTTTTTGGTCCTTCTTCCTCCCCAGGTCGGCAGGGTGGCACCCCAATATAACAGCTTTCTTCTGCCAGGGCAGCTTGATGACGCGCCTTCAAGTGGTGTGTCTTTGACAACCCTGGCTCACAGGAAGTAGGCTGAATGATTCTGAGTTTTATTCAACCTGTGAACCACCAATGGATCGCACAGCAATGCGTCTGTAGGAGACAGCACTGGAGAGGATGTGAGTGTTGCTGCAATAGCTACTTATTAATTTTATTCCATGCTGAATATCAAATATTAAATATTTGTTTGTAACTAGAGTTAGGCTTTAATTACTGACATTCATGCACCAAGACCTTGAACTTTGCGTGGACAGGATTAAAAATGTAATCCATTTAGTCACTGAGCAGCATCTGATGGGTGTTTTCACACAGTTTAAAAATCAATTAGAACAATGTATTACATCTGATGGAAGTTTTGCTGACATTTAAGAACAAAAGCTTTACAACAAGTAACGGTAAACCCCTGCAGGCTGGGTGAATTTTTTGCCATAATGCACAGCATACTTGCACATTATGGCACACTTACCTTATGGCATGTATCTTAGTACTTTAAAGGTGTGGGCATGTATCTTAGTACTTTAAAGGCGTGGGCATGTGTCTTAGTATTGTAAAGGCGTGGGCATGTATCTTAGTACTGTAATGGCGTGGGCATGTATTTTATCACTGTAAAGATGTGGGCATGTATCTTAGTACTGTAGAGGTGTGAGCATGAATCTTAGTATTGTAAAGGCGTGGGCATGTATCTTAGTACTCTAATGGCGTGGGCATGTATCTTAGTACTGTAAAGGTGTGGGCATGTATCTTAGTACTGTAAAGGCGTGGGCATGTATCTTAGTACTGTAATGGCGTGGGCATGTATCTTAGTACTGTAAAGGCGTGGGCATGGTTTTTAACATGATCGAGAGATCACTGCCGAACGAACCGTTGTGCGCACGCGCACACTGCCCGTTCAGCATTGCAGTCATCGGAAGCCCGCCCCTCGGGGGGGCGGGCTTGCGATGATCGCAAGTACGATCTGCCTGTCCAAGATGGGCAGATCGTACGTTTTTTAAAGTACTTTACAACCCTCGCAAGACAAAAGTCTTGCGAGGGTTGTAGAGTGTATGGGCACCTTTAGTACATAAGTGAATAATGTGAAACCTCGCGCCACTACTCTAATCAAGTTACGCAGCAGCTGAAATCTGTGGGGTCAGATATATCGTATTTTCTAGTTGTTATTCTTTGCACATTGCATCACATTGTTTCACAGTTAATATTTAGTGCACTTGATTTTTCATTATGGATATTTTGTAGCAATTACATTTACACTAAGGTGCATGTTATATACATGCGTTTCTTCATTCATTTTTTACAGATTGTATCACATTACTTCAAGGTCAGTATCTACTATATCTGACACTTTTGCGGTTTCATTAATACAGCGCGGCTTTTACCATTAATTTCATGTATCTTAGTACTGTAACGGCGTGGGCATGTATATTAGTAATGTAAAGGTGTGGGCATGTATCTTAGTAATATAATGGTGTGGGCATGTATCTTATTACTGTAACGGCGTGGGCATATATCTTAGTACTGTAAAGGTGTGGGCATGTATCTTAGTACTGTAAGGGTGTGGGCATGTATCTTAGTAATGTAAAGGTGTGGGCATGTATCTTAGTAATGTAAAGGTGTGGGCATGTATCTTAGTAATGTAAAGGTGTGGGAATGCATCTTAGTACTGTAAAGGTGTGGGCATGTATCTTAGTAATGTAACGGCGTGGGCATGTATCTTAGTACTGTAACGATGTGGGCATGTATCTTATTACTGTAACGGTGTGAGCATGTAGTGGTGTAATGCAATAACCCTTTTATTCACCATGTTCCATGAGGCAAACTGTTTCTCTGCCAGCCCAAGCGATCCACGAGGCGCACCGCAGTTCCTTGCATGGGGCTCTCCAGTGTTCCCGTTACTTAATTCATGAAGAAGTTATGCACAAATGGCCATCTTGCCTAAAGGCAGAAGGTAAGGATCAACAGAGCTGAGGAGCTTCACCAGCACAGACAGTAATTAGACACTCCCAGAAGAGAAGTCTATGGCGTGCAGGGAGGGAGGGGCTCTGCTTCCTGGTGTAGTCACATTGTTTAGCACTCAAAGGCACATTGCAAGTGAATAAAAAATCATTTATGGAAAGGAAAATCGCTGCAAGTAAGCATTTAATATACTTGATTTATCGTGCTTTTACCTGCAATTTTTTAAGTTAATGACAGGGTCTCTTTGATTAGTATTTTTTAATAGAGGTCTATACATCAGAATAGAGGTTTATACTGAGGGACACGGTTACAAATGTGGGACAGTTTGAAGCTCTTGTATAGCTCCCCACTTTCTGAGATAAGAAAGAGGGACACCTTCCAGCACAATGTATTTTGGCTTTTCGAAATAGCGAACAAGATAATTAAGAGATAAGATGAGGATTTTAGTGCAGAAAAACACTTTTGGTAGTTAAATAGAACATTTCCATAGAAATCTGCACATCAGACCAAAAAGAGGGACAACCGAGGAGGAAAGAGGGACAGGGGGATTTGGATCCAAACGTAGGACAGTGGGGAGCTATTCTACAGACATGACAGAAAGGCAGCACCATGAGATGGATTGCATGGGCTTGCATGTGTTTCAGCAGACATTTGAAGAGGACAGATACTAACTTGATTCTGGCATTATAGCCGTGTGGGGTTCTATACCCACCTATGGGTGTCACTAAGACACCAGAAACATTGCTGTGGGAAATTCAGCATTAGACCACGATGGATGAGCTTGCTGGGACTCGCACCACCACCGTCACAGCTGCATAAAAGTTTGCATAAGAAGCCTCTCCCTAGAGAACAAAGTATCCCAGGAGTCTTTGCAGGTTTCTGGTTGTTCCAGTTCTGTATTTCTCCCCGGAACAGCATAGCATGTCTGAATGTGTCTGATGAAGAGTGATCATTCTCAAAGGTGTCTTGGCTCCTCAGGTAAAGGGGTGTATTGGGGGAGTGTCTGCCATTGTACAGCATACAATATGAGCCCTGTCTATGTGCCTGGCTCCCTCTACGTGTACCGCAGAAACTATCACACGCTGCACACTGCTAACACCTTCTTTTTGGTTTCTTTTTGAAATGAGAGAATGTGATCTGACCGCACTGACGAGGGCCAGAGGGGCAGATTTGTAATGCTTGGATGGAAGAAAGGTGTGTGCTCATGCTAGCCGGGTTTTGCCATGTTCCAGCTTGCATTCCAAAAATAACGACATCACCCATTTGCTACAGATAATGATGAGATATCACAAAGTACAAGATAAAATGACAATTTCTATAGATTACGGAACTCGGGTAAAGCTTTGCTTGCCAACAGCAAAGTAGTTTATACAAAACAAGGAAATGAATGATTTCCCTGTGGGCTGAAAGGAGAAAATGGAACAGATTCTTCCAAATCTCCCGCTGAGGCTATTGTATTCAGACAGCAGTCTCTTGCTGCTGACAGACTGCATTAAAAATGGCTGATTGGCTGCAGTAACCGTTAGTTACTGCAGCCAACTGTTAGTTACCAGGTGCAGAATATTATGCCTGGCTCCTTCGATTTTCAGATCGAATGATGTCGGGTGGGAGGGGCTACCCACAGAGGGAGTTTTGTTCATCAAGAACCAGACAAAATTGGCTTGTGTATGGGCAACTTAAGTGTAAGATGTAAACCCTAACCTAATGGTGGTTTTGTGTTCAAACAGGTACTTGTAGTCTCCATTAAAGGATGTGCAGGGCTTAGTGCCCCCGTCGGGCCAATCAGTTGCAGCAGAGGGATTCCTCGCCCCTTTGTGATGTGTTGCTGCGGGGAGCTGGGGAATGCCATTGCTATTTCGACCAGACGGCGTTGGACTGCAAAACACAAAGACTGACGGAGCTCTGTACAGCTGCATTGTAACAATATTCAGCAGGTGGCAAACTCGACAAGTATTCTGAAAACGCTATGTGCGCATGCGCACCGCAACTGTACAGAGCTCCAGTCTTTCTGAGCACCGGAAGTGAGGTAGTTGGAGATTTCAATGATTTGGGGCTCTCGATAGAACACCCCTGCTCATTACTAGTCTCTATCAGAAACCCACCTGACAGGGTGACAATGCAGGAGCACAATTGGGAGACAGAAACATTGTTGTCACCCTATAACAGGATGTGCCTGAACAAAGTTCCTCATAGCAGGAGCACAACCTATGACTTTATTAAAAGCTGCAGATTTAAAAATACTATAAATGGCACTTGAAATGATGTGAAAAAGTTAAAGCTTGTATGAGATTTTTAGTGACCAGGTTTGAATATACTTTAAAGAAGAACTCTGGGCAGAAATGTTATCAAACTTTGTAGTGGGGCTACCCCCGCACTGCAAGGGTTAACTGCTCATTTTTGTCTAGGGCAAAAAAAAAAAATGTTACACTCACCCGATCCTTGTAGCCGGCAGCGCTCCATCTAGTCTGTCTCTGCCTCCGCTGCATCGATGGTATTACCCTCGTCGCCCTCACGTCCAATACACTGTATTGGATGGGATGACTTGAGGATTCCTAGACGGCTGCAGAAGAGGAGCAGAGATGCTCCAGCGACCAGGGGCCCTAGGGGCTCAGAGGTTTACGTGAGTATAAATATTTTTTTTACCTTAGGCAAAAAAGGAGCAGTTAACCCTTGCAGGGAGGGGGTAGCCCCACTGCAAGGGTTAATAAAATTTCTACCCGGAGTTCTTCTTTAAAGGGACTCTGTCATGTGAGACTCATGGAGGCTGCCATTGCTGAATGCTTGTCATGCTGAAACGTTAGCTTTAGTGCTTTCTGAGTTGCTGACCTGGCACATACAGTATACAGAGATAAGGAACTCTGATACTTTTCTAATACTCATTTACAGTATTCATGATCTGAATCTTTCATCAGACACAGACAGGCAACCAGCAAAAACAGATGATAGGTTAGATTTATGGGTAAAAAACCCTAAACATGACTTCTCTGACCTTCTTATTTCAGGAAGTCTGCATACAAGGAAGAAGCCCTTATGTTTGATGATGGTGGATGATGGAACCTCTTCCTTCTAAGAGAATCAAGTCTACTCACCCTGATAATGATTCCTCCTTATCGAGAGCCACTCCACTTGTATCCCAACAACTTTTATTTGTGGACTCCACTTTCCCTCAGGATGAGGCTCTGCAAGTGGAAGGAATAAAGTGGAAGAGGCCTGAGGTATGTTTATAGAAATCTATTCTCTGTGAAATAGCCATCCGCTACTGGAGTTCATCATTGTGTGTCTCCTCTAGGAAATCTGTGACTGTCCACGCTTCATTGTGGATGGAGCCACCAGAATGGATATTTGCCAGGGGAACCTGAGTAAGTCTGTGCCATGGTTTGACTACCTAGAATGATACGTGTTAAGATTTACAGCAGAGCTCTGGGCAAAACTGTTGTTAACCCTTACAGTAGGCCTACCCCCCGCACTGCAAGGGTTAAGTACTCATTTTTGTCTGGGTGCTAAAATAGAAAAGTTATACTCACCCGAACCACGGAGGTCCCTCTGCCTGTCTGCAGCGATGGTTTGTCCCTCGGCGTCTGTATACACTGTGTATAGGACATGATGACTCATGGGACCTTAGAGTGCTGCAGGGGAGAGGGATAACCCTTTCAGTAGGCTACTGCTTGTTCACTGTCCAGTCAGAAGGCTAGGCAATGAAGAGAAGACACAGCTGTATTCCTGAGCTGTAATCCACCTGACTGTGACTGTGTGTGTGTGCTAGGGCTGTGTAAATATCAGGATGGAATAGACAGAAGTACAAGTTAACTTTTATGCTTGAAACCTATGTATTTTAGTTGTTTGGCTGGAGTTCAGCTTTAAAGCTTCATAACTTCTATATTTAATATTTACTACCCAGCTCCTTCGTCTCCATGTGGTCTGAGACCTCACCCCTATTAATCATAGTATGCCAAAAAAAACACAAAAGGTAGTACTGGGGGTTTAAGAGGCGTCAGACTGTCATTGTAATTTCATGCAAATGTATTATCAAATTTCATAATCCATAGATTACATTAAAATCATAAATGCATAATTATTTCCTCAGTTCTTGCCTGATTAACAGATTTGTACATAATACCGTATATGCCGGCGTATAAGACGGATTTTTAGACCCAAAAACACTGCCCGAAGATCAGGGGTCGTCTTATACACCGGGTATACTGTATGTAGCTTTGGCTACATACAGTATACCGCGCTGAGCCAATCACGGCAGGCTTTGTATTAATAATTACAATGCCTGTATTAATGAATGCAAAGCCTGCTGTGATTGGCTCAGCGCTGAGCCAATCACGGCAGGCTTTGTATTAACCCGGAAGATGGAGGACACTGCGGGGATCGTGGACAAGATAAGAGACTGTAATCCCGAGTGTGGCTCGGGGTTACCACTTATGGTACTAAAAAACCTATATTTTAACACAAAAAGTAGGGGGTCGTCTTATACGCCGAGTCGTCTTATACGCCGAGTCGTCTTATATGCCGGCAAATACGGTACACATGATTACAATTTTCCATATATGTTATCCATCTTATCTTATTGTATTTTTTCCATTAGTAATGATTCAGTGATTCATAAGTTTCAAACGCGTTTCGCTCATGCGCTTCTTCAGGGAAATTGAAGCAAGAATCTAATTATAAATATACAATCCATTTTTTATTAAAGCATCTATATACACACGAAATTCTATTATTTACATTTATATTTGATGTAGCACACTCATAGGGTCTATTTTTCCCTCTACTTACTTACAACTTGGGGATCAATTGCAAATCCATTTCCAAGATACAAGGATAATAATCCACCTTCTCTCAGAGTCAGTGCGGCGGAACCACAGGTGCACACACAGAAGGGAGTCTTAAAATCTATAATACGGCCGTTGCTATTATTATATTATTTTAATAATACTTATCAGAAAATTAAATCAACTTAGCGGGTCACTCTCAGGTGGGCTATTTGGGATCTCAGGTTGGCTCTGCAAGGGGCGTAACTAGAAATCATAGGGCCCCATACAAAATTTTGCTATTTCTAGTTTAGTTACGCCCCGGATTATACTGTACTGCATGTGGTTATTACAGTTCGGCTGAATGTCTTTTTATGCACCTTCTTGCAGGTAATTGCTGGTTCCTTTCAGCCGTCGCCTGTCTGTCACTGTACCCTCAGCTCCTGGAACAGGTCATGCCCACGGAACAAGACTTTGGGGATGGGTATAATGGCAAGTTTAGATTCCAGGTGAAGTAGCAATCTATAAATGGTTTACACCATTAATCATTCTTGATTATCAGTATTACTTTTTGATAGCCCTGTAAACATGGAAAATGTTCAGTATGTTGTGGATCACTAGGTGGTGGAACGCTCCACTAGAAGGTCCTCATCTGAGTCTGAATCTTTCCCTGACACATGAGAATACAGTATTATGCAAAACGGTACCCTCTGTTTATATTAAAAACCCTCTTCTTAAAAATGTTTAAAAAATATATATATATATATATGGTGGCAAATTAATAATAATAATGCTCAAAGAAATTATATAGGAAGGCCAAAAGTATAAGGGCACTCTGACCTGGATTTGGCACCACAACTACCTGGTACCCAGACTTAAAGCAAGCACAAAATCAACTGCTTCGGCCAAAGCAGATAAGTAACGTGTATGTTTGGGCAAAATAAATAAAAAGGTATTTAGCACATCTCTGCAATACATACAGTCCAATGTGTTAAAAACACTGCAAGTATAGAAAAATACCGGATAATTTTGCCAGAAATGCTCCTAACCTCCTATTTGAGATGGCAACACTGCCTCTGCTGCCCTGAAATCCCAAGAAGTGTTGTCATCCCTGTCTGAGTTCTCCCCTGCTGGACTAGCTCTTCTCATTCATTTCCTCCTACTATAGGGGTGGGGGTTCTGTAGTAGTTCAGTAGGAGAGAACTTGAAGAACATTATGAAGCTGAATAAAAGGATACCACTGATCATTCACACATGATGTCCACTATATTACACCGCCACAATATCCAACATACAGAAAAGGAAGAGTAATTGGAAAATCTTGATATGTCTCTTCTAGTTCTGGCAGTATGGGAAATGGGTGGAGGTAGTGGTGGACGATCTGCTGCCAACAGTGCAGACCCTGCAGAATGGAAGAGATCACTACAATTTACTTTTTGTGAATTCCAAGGACAAGAACGAGTTCTGGAGTTCGCTGCTTGAGAAAGCTTATGCCAAGTGAGTATTACTGAAAGTACATACTCCTGCTGCTGGGTCTTGTAAACCTTTAATAACGAAGTCACCTCATTTTGCATTGTAATTATTCCTGCTTCAGCAAGGTAACCATCGGTTCTTCTGAAACCAACGCTCTGAAGAATGCATACACCCCGCATGCACCGTTCTCTAAGAAATTGATAGCTGAGAAGCTGGTTCATACAACATGACTACCTCCAGGCATAGTAGGTTCTTGGTACTGGAAATAATATACCATTACTTATTATCCTACAGGGTTTAGTTTAGTTAGGGTCTGTGTTGATGGTCTCTTGTTTGCTGGCAGCACTAGGAGGGTTAGGCTGCTGCTCTTCCACACAAGGAGCTGCCGCGGATCTCCTGCAATCCAATATACCCTCCTGAACACTGCTCGAATCAACATCATTCTCCCTTCCTGGGCAGCTCTGTTGATTAGAGCAGTGTTCAGTGGAGATTGTTATAGAGCTGTGAGAGCGACAGTCCTTCTCTAGTGCTGCCAGAACAGTTTTTAACCCTTGCTACAGCACTTAGCAGAAAAAAAAAAGTTAAAAAGGGGCACACTCATTACTGTATACACAGCCCGGCTGTATTACCATAATTGGGCTTTACAAAATAGTTTTTTTTTTAATGAATTTCCAATTTCGGCTTCCTGTAAAAAAAAAAATGGATTACACAGTTGTGAAAACTCTGTGAAAAAAAACTTTATAAATTGCCAATACCCATTTGCAACCAGGGTCAGATTTTTGCATAGCCATCATAGGCAGTGACCTAAGGAGGGAGAACTGCTAGGGAAAGCACACAGCCATGCACACATTTTGCTGTCAGTAACAATGTACCAGGTACATGCGACATGTGCAACTACAATCAAACTTCTGGCAAAGTTCATTAAAGAAAAACTCCAGGAATAATATTCCTAACCCTTGCAGTGGGGCTACCCTATATAAATAGGGCCATGTTTTACCATAACATGTAGCAAAAATAGTATCAAAAGTGCCTAAAACTATTCATAAATAGTTAAGAATATTAGAGTTAATCTTTTCCTTTTTAAAAACTTGTGAAAAAGTTGATAGTGCTCCTTTATAAATTGCTCCCATAATGTATTTTCCCCACCTTATTATCATTGAAAATTAATGCAGGGATTAATTTCAGGCTCAAAGGCGGGTACTCTGCTCTGCAGATGGGCTTCGCTGGAGAAGCTCTGGAAGACTTGACTGGTGGTGTGGTACAGAGCAGTAATACCAACTGCCCAGCTCCAGAATTGTGGAGACTCCTGGACAATATTCTTCAGAGAAGAGCTCTCATCTGCTGTGGAAACACCCAGGTAGCATGTCCTTGAAAGCTTTGAAATGCACACACTAAACACAGCCTACCTGCTCAGGAACCCCTTTTACTTAGTTGTTTAAGCATGTCGTTACTTCGACTTAGTCAAATTGTAGGATGCTTTCACGCTACCATGTCTGCAAAACATTCTGGATTTTCTAATAAGAAAGCCCAACACTAGTTCTGCACTTATTGAGTGCTCCTGCATACCAAAGAGGGGTAAGGCATTCAGATGTTTGTTTGTATGAAGTAATATTCTGTTATTTAGATCTGTTTTTACAGTGTAATGGAAAACTAAGTACATAACCCTGTAGCAGCAGACTCGCACTTGCCCCTACTCCTAGCACGTGTGCAATATGAGATGCCCCTGTACAATATTTAATATTTCATTATTGCAAATAAAAAAATAAAAAAAATTAGCCTCAAGCATGATGCATACATTAATAACATATATGGAAAAATGTGATACATTCTAATTCAATGTCTTCTTTGCCAAATCTTTCTGCAATCCTCTGATAATGTGACTGATCTTATTAAAAAATGGTGCATGATGTTGACCATGAAAAACCTCCCAGTTTTCTGAAATTTTTAAGTACGAATTTATATACACAATAGACCCATCTCTGGTCATACATACCACGATTTTATGGGCAAAAGTTTGGTTCATTAACAGACTGCTACAATGGTCAAAACCAAAAAAATACAAATCAAATTAACTCACTGGTGCCCAATTTCTCCATGTACAATTTTTAAGGTTGGGCATAAAACCCTTTGCAACGTAAACAATTTTAATAGTGATATAGTACATATATTTATACAGGTATCAGAGCTAAAAGAGGGACAGGGGCATTTGTTTTTAAAAACTGGGTCAGTGGGAAGCTAAGTCACTGTTCTAAACCTCTTGGTTCTGCAGGGAGAAATTGAAACATCTAATTTGATGGGAATTCTCAGCCATCACATGTACTCTGTGACCGGAACCAAAGAAGTGAGTATGGAATCATTAAAACTACTGCTAGACCTAAAACCCAGATCGGGAGATGATCTCAGATCTGTTCAAGGGCCTCAATCCCTCAGGCTAGTTCCAGTTCGGGGGAAAATTAATGAACTGGATTAATACATTTGCCTGAATTGCTGGCGTTCCCTTTTAGATACTAGCCACTGGTAGCATCTGCCATTCACTTTCCACCTCCTCCTCTGCTGATATGAACAAGGTTTTTGGCATAGCTTTATGTTCTTTTAATTTAGTGCCTGGGCCTCACATGTGTTGGATGATATCCGTATGCCAGGGCTACATGGATAATTTGACTCTCTTGCTACTGAGAGATTTTACTACTTGCTGGCATTCTCCTTGTTAGCCTAGTCAGTTACAAACACTACAAGGAATTTAACAAATTCATGGTAGAGTTCTACCTGCTGGTGTTTATGTGTACAGGGGCACATGGATTCCACCCATTTCCTACTTACTGTGGTCATTTTGTACTTTTTAAATGCTATATTAGAGTATTTGTTTGCCGTTTTTCCATTCTCTCATAGCCACTTGGCCTTCTTGCTGCTCCAACAGTCCTACCCAGCATCAGTAGCAGCCAATCACTGCCCCTGGTTGCAATGTCAGTGGCCCCTGGTAGAAGCATCAAGATGGCAGGCCCTGTCTCTAGTCTACTGATGAAAGGGTTGCTTGGCTGCGGGGGTGGGGGGAGGGGGGCAGTTGTATGGCTAGAGAAAATGAGCTATGACAGGGCTGCAGAGATGGGGGGGGGTGGGGGGGGGGCAGATGTGGTTGTAGGGGTGTAGGCAGGGCCATCCCTTTAATGAGGCACGGCCGTTCTGCTGCACAAAGTTTGCAGTGTGCCAGCTGCACCCTTTCCGACCAGAGCATCCCACATTACTAAGAGGTGGGAGGGAAGATGTGTAAGGGCAATACACGTCTCCACTCTGGCCGGTGTCCCCCCAGCTCCTGACAACCAGTGGCGTCACAGGAGGACTCTGCCAGCTGCATTCTCTGTGGCTGTTTATTCATTTAGCTCATTTAGAACCTTTCTTGCAGGTTCAGACTATACAGGGGCCAGTATCTCTGCTCCGGGTCAGGAACCCCTGGGGACACACTGAGTGGACGGGGCCCTGGAGAGATGGGTAAGAGGTTTATGTCTTTGTCATTTGAAGATGGAGCTGTCAGAACTGGTAAATAGATCATTCTGTGTTTTCCTTTCTCAGGGGGCCAGAATGGCATACTGTGATCAAACCCGACCTGACAGAGAATGTAATTTTGGAGGATGGAGAATTCTGGTACAAATGTCAATTTAAATGTCATCTCACATGTCTAAGTTGTAGACAATGAACTCTTCATGATATATTTGTTCCTACAATTGGGCCTCATTTGCAGAAGTAAAAAATTCTATATGGCCAAAACTTTGTGGATACCTGATCTATATGAGCTTGTTGAATATTGCATTCCATAAACATGGGCATTCATTTTGCAGAATTTTGAAGCGTGTCTGTGGCAATTTCAGCCGAAAGAGAATTTGTGAGATCAGATAGGGAAGTTGGATGAGAGGATCGGACTTGCAATCGCCGTTCTAGTTCATCCTTTAATAAACAACAAAATCTTTAATAAAGTTTAAGTCAAGGCTCTATAAAGGCCACTGAAATTCCTCCACACCAAACTTTTCAAACCCTGTCTCTCCAGAGTGTACCTTGTGCACAGGGGCACAGTTATCCTGGAACAGAAAAGGGCCTTCCCCCCAAACTGCTGCCACAAGGTTGGAAGAATGCAGTTGTCTAAAATGTCTTTGCATGCTTTAGCATTAACAGTGCCCTTCACTGGATGCACCTGAACTCATTCATTTGGAGGGGTGTCCACATATTTTTGGCCATATAGTAGGTGTGATGGTCACATGTCCACAAACCTTTGGTCCTATAGTGCAAATTCTGGAAATTATCTTATCAGTGTGCATCAATGATTTAAAAAATTGACTTAGTCCATATCTCTGTCCAGGTGGGCAGCACTGCTTGCTCCTAACATATACTGTACATGTTGTGCTAAGGATGGCATAGTCAGACCAATAAATGCAAGCAAAGCTAGCATTACCAGCACTGCATGGAGGAGCCAGACTGTGCAGCCTTCTGATCACTGAAAGTGAATATATATATATATAGAGAAGCTGATTGGTTGCAGTGCAAATCTCCTCCAGATATTGTCTGCTCCAGTTTTGATAAATTCCCCCCAGTAGATATGCTGTGTATACAGTATATATTTATCCACTTTTATTCTGTGATTTCATTCTGTAAATCATAAACTCATGCTGTGTAATAATTTTCTGGAGTAATGGGTGAAAGGTGAAATGACATCATTGAGAAATGACCAGAGTACTGTACTACTATACCCAGCTCTAATATAATGTCTTTAAATGCAGGATTGCAGTTGAGGATTTCAAAGAGAATTTCCAGTTTCTGGAGATCTGTCACTTGGGACCCCAGAGCCTCTTGGAAATTGGGGGTGCTGCGAAACCTTGGGATTATGTGATGTATGAAGGGCGCTGGGTGAAAGGACTGTCAGCGGGTGGCGGCCCTACCTCTGGTAATTGATCGGTACCCTACTGTGTGTCTCACAGCTTTCTTGCTTCTGTCTTTTGATGTGGGAGAGATAAACATGTAATTTGGCTCTGCTTGAAAAAGTAACAGGTTACCTGTACTGCATGGGGCATAGGCAGGCCCTGATTCCCCACAAGGCCACCGAGGCTCGGCCTCGGGGCGGCAGGGTGCAGAGGGGCGGCAGCGGTGTCCTTGTGAGGAAGTTGCCCTCTCTACATTCAGTCCTGCTTTTCACAAGCAGGACTAAATGTAGAGTTAGGCAGCCGATTTTTCGTTTACATGTGAACTCGGCGATGTCGTCGAGATCACATGTAAACAGTGTGCAGCCTCCTCCCCTCCCCCCAGCCACATTATAATAATTATAAAAAATAAACAATAATAAGATAAAAAAGTAAATAAGATAAAAAAATCTAAAAAAAATTAAATTGATACAAAAATAATTAAATAATAAAAAAAGATAAGAAGAAATAATTAAATAAAAAGTGATAAAAAAGTTTAAAAAAAATAAAGAAACAGTAAAAAAATTGACATTAACCCCGCCGCCCTGCCATTCTCCAGTGATGGGAGGGGCGCATCGCAGAACCTGGCCTTGGGGCGGCAGGGAGAGTAAATCCAGCCCTGGGCATAGGGTATGTATTCTTAATTTGCTCTATTATGCCACCAGCCCACCTGGGAAATACCGTTACTTCTGAATGTGAAAGAACACATGACACTCACCCTACCTCCATACAATACAGCGCTTTGTGTCTGAGTGGCCAATCACAGGCCCTGCGTGTTGCCAGGTACGTAGCTGAGCAAGCTGAAACATAAGAATCCTAATTGGGCTGGCAGCCCATGGTGGTACATGTACCTTATGCTCCATACAGTAAAATTAACCTGTAACTTTGACAGTGTGGCCAAAGTATAGGTTCACTTTAAATTATTATTTTTGTCTTTCTGACCCTCAAGTGTAACATGGCAGCAATCTACATACCTTTTAGGACTCATACCCCAAACTTTTTAAAAGTTACAAATTAAAGCGCCAGCCATTGCTGACTTTTCCTTCTTATAGTTGCCTGGTTGTATTAATCTTTTGGTGTCCGTGCTCTTTCATACTTGCTTAGAACATATACTGAAGCCAGAGACAGCTAGGCAGTTAGCATTTTCAGAAAGAGGTCAGCAATGATTAACTTTGTATACCTCTTTCAGTATAGGCTTCCTTTACCAAGAGCATTGCAGAAGTGCAACATATCAAATTTACTGCTGTGATCGTTGCCATCTGGTGAAAGGTCGCAAAGAGGCTACCTGATTGCTTGCTGTGGGTTCCCATACATTACAAATCATCCTCATTTTTGCTGACTTATTCCTTAGACCTAATAGCCTTGGAGCTCCCTTGTATAACTTTGGAATGTAGGTGACTGAGTTCTAGGGAATTGACAAAAATATGCACATCCAAGTTGAAAGGTTTTCCCTACAGATATTTGTACCAGCCTAAGGAAGGGAATGGAAGGGAAATTACAACCTGGTCCCTATCTGCACACTTAAATCCTTCCTACCATTAATTCATAAATTAATTAGTAAATGCTCCGGGTGTCGGGCGGGTAGTTGTTTTTTACATTCACCTCTTTTTTGGGCAAGCAGAACTAAATGTACAGCAGGGAAGCCGGCGATGTCGCCAACATCACTTGTATGCAGTCTGCAGGTCTGCCATTCTCCATGGGGGGGAGTTTTGGCGGGTAGGGGGGGCGCATTGAGAACCTGGCCTTGGGGCAGCAGAGAGAGTAAATCCGGCCCTGGGCATGCTCATGCCTTCTTTTACTGTATCTTATTGCTGGCCGTCCTCTTCTTTTTACCTCAGCTTTTCCAAGCATTATTGTCTTTTCCAGTGAGTCTAAAATAGGATAGCTTCAGTGTACTCATTAGAGTTTCTAATGCAAAGTTGGGCTTGATTTGTTAAAGGATCTATCTGTTTGTTTTTCTTGCTCTCCATTATATTCTTGGAATTCTTTGCCACCACCAAAGTTCAAAGGCATCAATATTTTCCTTTCTTGCTTCCTCATTATCCAGCTTTCACATCCATAGAGAGCGAGAGAAAATACCATAGTGCAGACAATTCTGATCTTTGTTCTTTTTTTTTTTGATCTTTGTTCTTCTTTACCTTACAGATTATTATTGGATGAACCCACAGTTTTCACTGACACTCTCAGGAAATGATAATAACACTTTGTGCAGCTTTATTGTATCCGTCATGCAGAAACACCAAAGGTTAAGAAGAATCACACAGCGTGTAGCTTGTCATATATTTCAGGTAACTTATGCTGCATAATACATAAGACAAACACACATTAAATTTTCCTATGATGACAAACATATAAAATGCATTATATACAAACTATGAAACAGTATGCAGTATATAAAATGCAAAACTCTCTTAAAGTTGGCTAAACGAACCTGACTTGGCTAGGGGTGGTGTTTTGAAAACTAGAGAGGAAAGGAAAAGTGATGGTGTTTTCTATAATACCAGTTATGTTTATGTTTTCTGAATTGGAAACTGCCAATTCTGTCTCCATTTTCATGGCTAATCTCCTGTACATATGTATATGAAGTAATTTATATAATAACATTTGGAGGAACTTGTAGTAAATTCAGCACAGAGAAATGTGTCTGTCCTAATGGGGGGCTGTTATACAACTGGTGCCCAGAAGGGTGAAAGGGCCCATCAGGGTGATAATAAGAGGCAATATGAAGGGCCTGAGTTGTTGAAGATGTTTTTTTTCTGTCTTTTTTTTTTCCTCATGGGGAGGTTTCCCATCACTTCCTGTCCTGGTTATTGGTAATTCTATGTTGCATTTGCTCATCTACACAACCCCTTACATAACCAACCAATGTGGTCTCAAATGGCCTTAGTCACTCTTTGTAATATAAAATACATTTATAAATTGTAAATGGCCAGATTAAAAACTCTTAGACCCAAGCTGAGGACTTTTTTTTAGGTATATCATCATAGTTGCCCTTGAGAAATATAAGCTGTGGGAGCATAATATAAAAATTAAAAATATTTTTTATAGACTAAACTAAACCATAGAAAAAAAATTTGGACCAGTTCATGGACAAATTTAAACAGAAGTAGTTTTTTCTATACCTTGTGGAGTCCCCATGAGACTTTAGAGTCATTCTTTGTTTCATCAGGGGGATGACGCACATGCATATCTTTTTCAAGACAAGTTACGTTCCTTGGAGCCGCTTCTCAGTGCTGGGCCATGTATTAATCACAGAGAAGTGGTCATCTGCACCAGCCTGCCTCCAGGACGTTATATCATCATCCCATCTCTGGAAGAGTGCAACGAGGGAGAGTTTTTAGTCAGACTCCTGACTGAAAAGGGAAACCCTTCTAGGTAACTATGACAATGCCAGTTAGTTCACAAACATTTGTCTAAAGGTACTTTACCTGTAGATTTATACAACCACCTCTTCAACATCTTGAAAACTAAAGATGATGGCTCCCTAACCAAAACCTGTCATTTCTTAATTGATGCCCATGTCCCAGTTTCTCCTTGCTTTTTCTTTGAAGACCACTGACACAGAAGGTGAGGGGGATCCCACTAACTGGAATGTGAATAGTAAAAAAACAGGCAAAAACTCTCACCTTTTCCACTATATTTGAAATAGCATGCTATGGTGTATTGGAAAGATTTTCTCTTACTGTCATGGAGACCACCCAAAAAGTATGGGAAAAAGTCCCCATCAAGGGCATTTGGAGACTGTAAACTCTTCAGCTTCCTATGTCACCTCCCTTCCATCACCCTGCTTTAAATGGAAAGTATAGTGCATTTTTAGAAAGGGGGTCACTCCACTGTTATGGCCCACAGTAACACCCAGACCGCCCTGAAACTACACTACACTACACTATACCTTAAAAAGCTGTATACAGCGATAGGAGCAAAACCAGACAAAAAGAACAGTGCGGGTGTTTTGGCAGGACTGAAACAGAACATATATTCTAAAAGTATCCCGAAGTTGAGAAGTAGAACATTTCAAATCCAGTATTTTATTGATCAAGATGCATGATTTAAAATAACTTGTGAAGATTTACTGTAAATTTACTTTGTTTTTAAACTTTTATAGGGCATTGGAAACCAGCAAGGAGGGCAAAGAAATTTTGGTAAGTGCAATAGGTTTTTATGACGTGTGTAGAGTGTATACATTTTCAATATATAAAATTAGGAGAATATTGTATCTTGCCAACCACACTGTAATAAAGGGTATCACTTTACCTCCAAATGTTCTGTATCAGATATCATTTCCCAGGATAAAGAGCAAATTTACTAACTAGCATGTAGGGCTTTGTGGTTCCAGAACAGGTATAGAGCAAACAGTCACAAAAACTTCTGTACATTAAATTCAACCCCCATCCCATTGATAGTGTCTTATGAAAACCGACTGACATCATTTTCCCAAACCAAATAAACTGCTATGTCCTCCATGGATGAAACAGCTTTAAGCTATTTGGTTAAAAGCATTTGTCCTTAGACAGGACAACAGGTTGTAAAACTCTGCTGTGGACTGTTGTTGATATAGCAGTAGTAGAAATACAATGAAGGGAATTTATCAAAACTGGAGCAGAGGAAATCTGCAGCAGCTGTGCATGGCAACCAATCCGCTTCTCTCTTTCATTTTCAAATCTTAACTGAACAAACAGAAGAGAGAAGCTGATTGGTTGCCATGCACAATTGCTCCAGATTCTGTCTGCTCCAGTTTAGATAAATTCACCCCAGTATACTTCCATGATGCGTGTCTCAATCTGGAAGTTCAAGCTTGGATGCTCTTCATTCAGTGCTCCAATATAAATGTGCAGTGACAGTCTAGAAAGTACCTTACATTATTTTGTAATTTACCCTGTAGTGAAAACAAAATGACCAAACATCTATTTAGAAACATATTATTTCTGTTCAACACCACCCCATTACACCTTATAAATAAAGCCTACCTTAAGTAGGTAAGCATCCCATGAAGGGAGACCCGGATAAGAATAAACCAATGACCACATGAAAGGGGATACATTTTAGTGTAAAGATTATCTTTAAGACTTACTGTTCTTGTCTGTTACAGACTCTGTCTATGTGTCCAACTGAAGCTGAGATTCAGAGCAGGTTCCTTAAGTTTGCAAACCAGGTAAGTAATCACATAAGATCATCTAGACCAAGTGTTTTACTATCTGGAGCACAAGTCATGTCCTCCATACCCCCTCCATTGTGCAACATGTGGGATAAGTGTCTTGGTATATGAATTTGGCCTCCTATTAAAACATAAAGGGTAGTTTGCACAAAGCTGAGTACCCTATTGTAGTATGTGTTTATGTGTATATTTATTGCATCAGAATAAGCCTATTGTCAGTCTGGTATCTTTTCTCTATCGCTCGTCTATTCTGTATCTTCTTTAAACAAAATGGAAACTGGAGGAGGCCATAAACAAGCCTATCTGCCCTCTGTTGTGTGTTGTGTGTGTTTTAAAAGCAAAAACAAAAAAGTGCTCTGGTGAACCAAGGCAAAAAAAGTGCATAGAGTGTAAATGGGTCACCCACCAAGGTGTATTACTCAAGGTAGCCCCAGACTTACCTAGCTGTAGCAGGGAAGATCCTCTGGATAAGCCAAAGCATACTCCGTGATTAGTAGGTAAGGATTCCAGGAAGGGGGACCTACAAGTCTGGGGGGCAATGACCAGGGTAGCCATGTAGACTTCAGGGGTAGGCCTCTAGAACCTACACTCAACGACTCATAGTGAGAGCAAATGTGATAATACATCTGATAGTACTTGGCCATTTAGGACCCTCAGGCAGGGCCGGATTTCCTACAAGGCCAACCAAGGCCCGGCCTTGGGGCAGCAGGGAGTAGAGGGGCAGTAGGGGTGTGGAACAGGGGAGCGTATAGAGATTTCCTGATATTTTATAAAGACTGCAGAATACAAAACCTTTGTTCTTCACGTGTATATTCTTTAGTAAAAAGCAGAAATAAAGACTAAATATTATGCTGCAGGCATACGTCAGAACTTACTGCGGAAACAAGGTTTTTGAATGAGCAGCAGATGTGCTGTGAAGGAAATTTCCATGAATGAAGGAAACTGATTGTCTTTGCTCCCTTCATGAAGTAAAACAAAGCTTGGGCTGTAATTATAGGGAGGCGACCTACTGACAAAATTGTGATTGAAGAGAAATTAAAAATACAATGGGTCTTCCAAAGAACTGTGATATTTTAATGGTAAGATTAATTTGACAGACACCAAGTTGAGCCTGCTATTGTTTACAGGGGTGCTGCAGGAGGCAAAACCCATTCATATTCATACAGGGATTGTTGCCAATAAGATAGTGAATTATCGTTTAATTAAAAACAGACTCCAAATTTTGATTTTGGTGGTCTTAGCCTTTCACAATCTTGTAAATAAACCCGGATCAGAAAAATAATAAAGTGTGGAAAATAGCAGATCAAGAAACAAAACTGATTTAAATCATCCTCTTGTCTTGCTCAATCACAGGATTGCAGAATCAACCCTGTACAGCTTCACAGACTCTTGGCATCTCTGCTGAGTGAGTTTGGTAAGTAACTTGGAGCACCAAAACACCAACGCAGTCATAACAACAGTCAAAACAACACCCATCATTGTGGAATTCCAAACGTGCTACTACAACTCTAAATGATGAAGTACAGGGTTTGCACAAAAGCAGATCATTGTTTTTGTAAAGATTAAATGCCAAAAACCAAAGGTGAATCGTCACACAAACCGCAATGTACAATGTACTTAGGTGATCAACTATTCTAGTTAGAAAACAACTTTCTGATTTACCTCTGTGCAGTTCAGCCCTGCCTGCGTATTGTTTAGCTATGTTGGTTGTAATAAATATATTGAGCAGTCATGTTTGTTAAAGGCTCACCAGGGTTGGTTAACTCTGCAGTTAACCCTTTACCCACCAAACGTTCGCTGCCACCATGTGTTTTTTAACGGAAACACAGACCGTGCCCAGCAAGTGCTGTGCCCAAACCCGCTGTACGTCAATCACACGTGACTATACACAGTTCTGAACCGACCCGCTGTACGTCAATCACACGTGACTATACACAGTTCTGAACCGAGCGTGGCATCACAAGGACGTGGCGATACCACTCTCAGCCCCACCCTGCACAGAGATTTCCCAGCTCGCGGGACACAATCTCAGGCCAGCAGACTGAGAACCACCATCACCAGGGTTGGTTAACTCCGTAGTTAACCCTTTACCCACAAACATTTGCCTCCCTAGCTGCCTTGGCAGCATCTTTTTGTTAACCCTCTAGCGGGTATCACGGAGCCGGCCCCTAGGGAATGTCTGGGGAGGGAGAGCAGGAACGATGTGCCTTTCATTTAGACTATCACTGTCCAATTCCAAATGATGAAATGGAGCTGATATTGTACTCAGGTTTATGACTTTCGGGTGAATGCGTGGTCACCTGGGTCATTACCTCTACCAGACCTGCTGGTGTTTATCAACTTGTCCACTGGTAATAGATGAGTGCCTGGTGACATGCCTTTAATTAGGGACAGCTAGGTTAGAGGTGATTTGGGACTTTCACTAGTGCTGGGCAATAAAGATCACAGGCCAGATAAACAGATCTCTGTTCTGTGGAATGTGAAGTGACCTGCAAATGACTAAATGAAGGCCTGCATGTGCTCTGAACTGGGGGACAAGAGAATGTTATATTTAATATTATCAGACTCAAAACCCCATTACCATTACACGCAGACAGTCCCCCTGCAGCTGATCTTTCCCTCATTACTGACTCGGCTGTAGATCCTTATATTATCTCTGAATCCATGATAACACTTTCCTTCCTTCTGAAGGGTGGCTACTTTTGTTCCCCATGGTCCCTGTGTGTTGTAAAGTACTCACCACTCCAAGCTCGCTCCCGTGATGGACTTCAATCTCATGTTTCCTTTACTAATTTGTATTGATATTGTAGTCTATCACGGGAGTGAGCTTGGAGCGGTGGCTACTTTACAACACACACAGGGACCATGGGGAACAAATGTAGCCACCCTCTAGAAGGAAGGACAGTGTCATCAAGGATTCAGAAATGATTTAAGGATCTAATGATCTGTTATTCAAATATATCCCATCCCATTTTTAGTAAATATTATTTCTTGGGGATAAGTCTGTACATTGGCAGACCAAAGATGTAGAGTTCCCAAGTACAAAGAGATTGTTTGATTCCCTTGCCATCCACACAAACAAGCATACTATGATGATGGTCCTGATGCAACAGCAGAGACTTTACATGTAGTGTCTGCCCTTCTAGTGTGACATTTTAAATTAATGTGACTTTCTGTTTGCACAAATCAGTTTAAAGTGCCCCTGTGACCAGACTATGGACATTCATTTATTTACATAGCAGAAAAAGAGCTTTAACACAGGCAATCACTGTTCTCTCCAGCTGCTTTTTTATGCAATTGTGAGGCTTGTTTTGAACTTCCGTTATTGCTTGTCTACAATATGTAAGTACATTAGGTGTATGTGGTCTGTGCACAGGATCACTTAAAACTTTAAAAAGATGCAGAGGCAGATTCACTCTCTCTATTTGTCCTGGTGACCACTGTCACTGGAAGTAAAAGTGAGGGTAATCCCAGGGAAAGGGAAATTGAGGGGAAATCTTCCAATGGAGACACTCCAGGGACATTGAAGAGATTTACTCTGACTTCCTATTGAGTCTATAGCACAGGAAGGGGGACAATCTCCCTCTTAACTGACAAGGATTTAAATCAGGAGTAGCAAACCTGCGGTCCTCCAGCTGTGGTGAAACTACAAATCCCATGATGCATCTCTCTTTGGGAGTCATGTCTGTGGCTGTGAGAATCTTGCAATGCCTCATGTGATTTGTAGTTCCACCACAGCTGGAGGGCCGGAGGTTTGCTACCCCTGATTTAAATACTTCAATATACTTTTCAAATTAAAAAAAAAAACATTTGGCTTTAGATACTTTGATACGTACCAATTAGGTAATGTAGCAGCTCACTTTCATCCTCCCTAGACAATTTGGCTCCCCTCACTGCACGCAGACTTAGACCACGTCCATTACAACCGTGGCAAACAAAAGAAACCAGGCATCTAAAAAGACATAGTCGCGCTCTTGAACGACTGTGGCGAAAAACTAGATCTCTGCAAGATTTCACCTTGTATAAAGCTGCCCTCCTAAAATATAATTCCTTCCTCTGAGAAATACCAAACAATAGGCATTTACAGCCAGTAAGGTTTTATATGTGTGTGTCTGTATTCTAATACAGTGATGCAGATGTGTCTGCAGAGTACACTTTGTCATATATGAAGGACACTTGAATGGTAACAATGTATTATATCTCTACAGTTCCTCTTGTGCCAAGTTTCCCTCCAGAGACCTGCCGATGCTTGCTAGCCTCTCAGGATGTATCCTACTCCAGTCTCTTTTAACAAATGTTTGTTTTCTGCTTGTGTTTTTTCTCAACATCTTTTATTTTTTTCATTTAATCCATCCACAAAATGTTCTTTTTAGTTTTGAGTAGATTGAGGAAGGTTTAAAACCCCAATCAGTTCTCTTCTCTGTGTTCCCGAAGGAAGAATTCCTTCTCATTGTGTCCTAGTGACCACCAATCCCCGTAAAAACAATTTTTCCTCATGTAGATACAGACAGCAATAAAAACCTGATAGAAGTTCTAATCCTTCCTCCACTCTTTCCAAAACTTTAGCTTTAGACATATTTTAAAGAAGCCCTTTTGTGTAAAAAAAAAAAAAAAGAAATATGATGGACACAAAATATGATGAAAGGTCTCTGCAAGAGAAGAGGCATAGTCACCTCTTTGGTAGCTTGTGTCTCCTAGCTTTCCTTTGTTCCAGTGTGGCAGCCTATGTTGGTCTCTTCAGCATTTGACACTTCCAGGAGTATCAGATGCTTGTGTCCCCCACTGTGGTTCCATTCTCTAACCCTTACATCACTGTAAGACTTGGCAGCGAATTATGGGTCAGAGGGTGAAAGTAACCATAGTACATAGAGAGTTTCCTTAGGCTGGCCATACACTCTATGAATTTCTCCCATTCAGCCCATGGATTCCTAGGGTTCTCCAAGTCCGTGCTAAACAGTGTGGATGGAGGAATCCCTGCTGCCAGGCTAAGCTCAGCTCCTTCACAAAGGCAAAGTCTCGCACTGGATCACTGCACAGATCTGGAACATACACACAAAGCTCACCAAGATTCAAGTAATAATACACATAACTCTTGTATTTAGACAATATTTGGATATCCTGGAGTTCAACATTAGTTTTGATCCTACCTACCTACAGTACATACAAACTAAAGAAAACCATTTACCTTCCTAAGTATTGACATGTCAAATATGTAAGGATAGGGTATACAGAGAATTTCAGCAAATGATACTTTATTGTGTTTTTTTCCAAAGTTGAAGTTGCACTTTAAATTCTTCAACTGCTGTTTCCAGCTACGGAAGAAGAATTTCCTAATCTCCTGCTATATATAACAAACATATGTTCAGGGACTACATGGACACATTGTACCTTCCTGTGTTGTTTCCTTTGCCTCTCCTCATAGTTTTATGTTTGTGTTGTTGTGAGTATTTGACTCAAGACAGATATCAGCTGTGGGTTCCCTGGACTGGGAGCAGTTTTACACACTCTGGAAGAAAATCATAGCTGGAATGGTTTGTACTTCCCTTCTTGATTTGATAGAAGTTTCCTTTTGTGTTTCATAAAGCATATGTCAATGCAAAATAAGCAAAACTACATATGCAGTAAATCTCCGCAATACAATGTTCCTTGTATTTTTTTCCCTTAAAGTAAAACTATGGGGTTAGGGCTTTTCCCCATAGTTCTCCGAAGGGTAAAGGGAGGACACAAACAAGCGTCCTCCCGTTACCCAAAGCTTAGTATAGCTGCAGCTCGCGGTATACTGAGACGCCGCAGCAGAAACGGATCCCGACAATTATGTCTGGATCCGCCCAGCTGCATGAGTGACAGCTGGCTCTGCCTATTTAGAGGCAGAGCCAGCTGTACCCGCCCCTCCCCCGTCTGTTCCGCCAGTCAGCGCTGGAGGATCGGACAGGGGAGAATCCAGTCACTCCCCTGTCACGGCTCTCTGCAGTGAGAGGATCAAGAAGTGAGCGAGCGCTGGTATGTGTTCGCCCACTTCCCGATCTGCTGAGCCGACCTGTGACAGTTTCATTGTCACAGGTCGGCTCAGATTATGAGGCTGAGTGAAAAGCACTCACCTCATAATTCTCCTTTAAGTACAGAAAAATACAGTAACTGTCCATCTGCCAGAAATGCAATCGGCTCTTAAACCCTATTGTGGGCTGACAACCAGGACCATACTGCCCGGAGCAGCCATTGTCCTAATGAGGGCAATGATGGTTGCCTTGGGCAGCAGTAGTGCTTCCTGCGCGTGCTACTACTCACAGGAGATCAGCTCAGTGACACCGAGCCTGTTAAAAGTGCAGACTCTGTGTCACTGAGTAAAAGTCTTTGCTCGGTCACTGCGCCAGTCACACAGCATGCATAGCAGACCTCCCTCCAATGTCTATGAGCACCTAAAAGGAGTCCATTCACTCATGATACAAAAATATATTGCTGACAATCAGCAACCCTACTGCATACTTCCCAACTTTCTGAGAAGAAAGAGAAGGGACAAATTATCACACAAAGTATGTGTGCACATACTTTTCCTTTATATTGGTTTTTCAGGATTAACACATTTAATAATTTAGAGGCTGAATGAAAGGTTTAGTGAAGTATAATTCTTTGGTTAGTTAAAGCGGAACCCCGGGAGTCCAGCTTGGCTCCATGTAAGTATCCATATCTGATATTGGGAGGGCCGCTGGGGATGCTGACAATCGCTGTGGTAGTCCACACTATATACAGTGATAGCCGTGATCTTTTGGCTGTGGCTGCACTGGCTCCCCCTCTGTACACAGAACTCAGTGTGTTGTTTGTTTGGTACCACCGCCATTCAGGGGGCACCTTATATTTTTTAAATGAATAGAAAGCATTCTCTGACTGGAAGAGGTGGAGAAGAGGGGCAGATGACATCACCATCATCACCGTGCCCAATCAGAGTATGTCTTGTATTTATTGGAAACAATACAAGACGTCCTCTGAATGGCGGCGGTGCTGAGCAAGTGACTCCCTGTGTTCAGTATAGGGTGGGGAAGCCGCTGGAGGATAGTATTCTGCACTATCACTGTATGTAGTGCAGAATACTACAGTGATTTTTCAGCGTCCGCAGCAGTCCCCCAGATATCTAGATCTAGCCAAGCTGGACCAATGTAAGTTTCCAAAAATAATAATTCCTGGAGTTCAGCTTTAAATACCGTATATACTCGAGTATAAGCCGTCCCGAATATAAGCCGAGGGTGGGAAATGAGGCAGCTACTGGTAGATAGATACCAATAAAATTACATTAATATTTATTTAAAAGAAAAATAACCTAGCTCTGTAAGTGGAAAAGGGGGTGCAGGGCTACATATCATGTACTACGGATCATTTAACCCATTCATATTAGCAGAGGATAATTGTAAATCTATTGTTCAGTGCACTCTATATGTATTATATATGACATGTACATATAGAGTGCCTGCAACAATACATTTACAATGATCCTCTGCTAACATGAATGGGTTAAATGATCCGTAGTACATGATATGTAGCCCTGCACCCCCTTTTCCACTTACAGAGCTAGGTTATTTTTCTTTTAAATAAATATTAATGTAATTTTATTGGTATCTATCTACCAGTAGCTGCCTCATTTCCCACCCTCGGCTTATATTCGGGTCAATACTTTTTCCCAGTTTTTTTGGTAAAATTAGGTACCTCGGCTTATATTCGGGTCAATACTTTTTCCCAGTTTTTTTGGTAAAATTAGGTACCTCGGCTTATATTCGGGTCAATACTTTTTCCCAGTTTTTTTGGTAAAATTAGGTACCTCGGCTTATATTCGGGTCAATACTTTTTCCCAGTTTTTTTGGTAAAATTAGGTACCTCGGCTTATATTCGGGTCAATACTTTTTCCCAGTTTTTTTGGTAAAATTAGGTACCTCGGCTTATATTCGGGTCAATACTTTTTCCCAGTTTTTTTGGTAAAATTAGGTACCTCGGCTTATATTCGGGTCAATACTTTTTCCCAGTTTTTTTGGTAAAATTAGGTACCTCGGCTTATATTCGGGTCAATACTTTTTCCCAGTTTTTTTGGTAAAATTAGGTACCTCGGCTTATATTCGGGACGGCTTATACTCGAGTATATACGGTAGTCTATTTTTGTTGACTTTTTTTTGAGGCAGTGGCACTAGGAGGGGGGGTGTAGGTGTGCCGGTGATGTGGGCTAACCTGGAGAGGAATGGTGCGTTTCGCTCAGCTCCGGGCAACCAATGACATCACTCGTTGCCAGGAGCTGAGCAGGACACCGGCCAGAGTGTCCCAGTTTGCCTGGCTCTTAGCACCCTGGGCTCTGGCCCCAGAAAGGGGGCATACATTGTGCAGCAGAGTGGCGATGTCGCTCTGCCTGCTACCCCCCTCCCTCACGTGACCCAAACAGCTGCCACCTGAGACAACAGCCTTAGGCTGCCTCATTCCTATCACTTTATACCATGGCCTGTGTTGGCTATGCAGAAATCTGGCCCTGCGTACACTGCATAGGATATACTGTAATAGCAATCATCTTATCTACAGCAAATATTCTGCAATGCACAGAAGGACAAGGATGACAGAATTTCCATCGATCAACTTGTCCCGGCTCTAAAGGCAGCAGGTAAGACATTTGTATGTACAACGTCATTGGTGACTTTTCTGTCCTAGATAATAGACATGTGCGATTCTGAAACGAAATTTGGACAAAATTTCGGAAATTCGGAGATTCGGATGTATCCGAATTCCCAATTACAGCTAAAACGAATGCAAACGAATCCGAATTCCCGATTTCCCAAAATTCGTTAGCGGTAGTCCGGTCGAAATTTTGCAGCAAAATGACATTAGGAAAAAAAATTGTTTTTAATTAAAAAAATGTTTTTAGTTTGCAGAAGATAAAAAAAAAAAAGCATGAGGTTCCCCCCCCAATTCATACCAGACTCTTTAGGTCTGCTAGGAATGTTAGGAGGGACCCCGCCCCAAGTTGAAACAGAAAAAAAAGTGCGTGGAGTTCCCCCCCAAACATGGGGTGCCTCCTAACATTCCTACTAGACCTAAAGGGTCTGGTATGAATTGGGGGGAACCTCACGCTTTTTTTTCATCTTCTGCAAACTAAAAAAAAACAAAAACAACATTTTTTTTCCCTAATGTCATTTTGCTGGAACGAAATTTTGCCCAAAAAAGAAATTTCGACCGGACTACCACTAACGAATTTCATCCGAATCCGAATTCCGAAACTAATTTAATTTCGGACCCGAATCCGAAAAACGAAATAATGCGAAATCCAAATCAAAATGAAACTAAACTAAACAAATGATTTGCTGGTGCACATGTCTACATAATCATTTGCTGACAGCTATCAATATACATGTTTACATTGATGGCAATGCTTTTTTGATGGGTTTACTAATATTGCTATCCCAAAATCAGAGTCCATTCTGGAAGAACGATGGTATTTGTAAACTTTTGTTAAAGTGGAATTTCAGCTTATTTGTAAACAATACAAAAAGACAGCAATTTTTATGAAGCAAAAGAAACTGGAGACCTTATTTAAAGAATGCACACCCCAGTGATCCATTAGTTATTTGCTCCAATGATTGTTGCTGCCACATTCCATGACAGGGTTAAGCAATCATGGCACACCAGCTGTTGTAGAACTACAAGTCCCATGAGGCATTGCAAGACTCTGACAGCCACGGGTATGACTCCCAGAGGCAGAGGTATGATGGGATTTGTTGTTTCACCATAGCTGGAATGCAGAGGTTGCCTTCCCCTGCTCTATGGCATAGAAAAACAAATCAAGGTGATCTGCTTGAGCTGCCTATCAGCATGCTGGATCGGCTGAGCCGAACCTCCGGCAGGCTACTCACTGCTGTTCGGCCTATTCTTAAAAATGCCGAACAGCAGTGAGTGAATAGCCGAATGCCGCTGAGCGAAGTTTGTTTCTCGTTCAGTCTTGCTGTTTAGCGGGGGAATCCCCACTCCCACTGGGTTATTGTACTCTGACAGTCAGAATATCCTTGGCCATCACCGTTCGGCCAATAATTTTAGGACAAAGGTCGATTTTTCAGGGCTAATTCACACCAAGCTGTGCTGGACATTTTTTTCCAGCACAGCCTGAATGCAAGACAAGGCAACTTGTCAGGGGAAGTAACCGTTCATACCACTGCGTTCCGATGGTGTGCTTTTTAAAAAAAATACAGCTGCGGTACTTTTTTTTAATGCACCGCAGCTAGACGCGGTACAACTGCATCGCACCACGGTGAGCGCATAAAACTTAATGAAATGTCACTTGTGACATTTCAACAAAGTTCTAACAAAAAAAAACAAAGAAGTGAAAAAGTGGTGTGATGCGGCTTGATCGAGCACATCTGCACTGTCCGGGCAAACGCACACCAGCAACCGTGTGGTTGAGCGCAGTTGCAGGTGTGAACAAGCCCTTAATAATCTTTCATTGAACAGAGTGAGATTCAATTTCAGCTGAGTGAGCGGGAAATCTCGATTTGAGCCGTGTATAGCCAGCTACATCCCTGGTAACGGGAGACAGCTGACAAGCCGATCTTTTAAAAGCATCCGTCGGTATATAAATATGTCTATTCAAAAATATGCTGCTTTTTTTAAACTGATTGCGGTATTGCATCCTACCCACTCATCAGTGCCAGCCTCAGTAATTTGACTTCGAAGATATATTAGCATACAGCATGAGTCAGAGAATATGCTTATTATGGGAGAGTGCAGACTTACATAATACACATCCAAAAGTCAAAAATAGTCCTCTACAATATATCATATTTCACTTGTAATATACACATATTTTTTTTCTTTCTTTAAGTTAGGAAGGAATCAGTTTTTGTTCTCTGTTTTATATATAAGTATGCCTCAGTGTTTAACGATTTATAGAACAAAGAACATTATTTAAAGTGACATTAAACTTCCGAGTTAAAAATGCATTCAAGTAGGGATGCACCGATAACGTTTTTTCAGTATCGAGTATGAGTACCGATATTTATATTTTGGTACTCACCGATACCTATTACCGATACTGGTACTTCCGTTAGCATGGATCCAGCTTCCCAGGCATTTAAAAAGCCGGGTGGCAGGTAATGACATGCCGCCCGGCTTCTTGATTGCCCGTGAAGCCGGCTTCATGCTGTTTGGCCGGCTCGATGCTAACTGGCCGGCAAGCCACCTCCATGCTGTTTGGCCGACTTAGTGCTGATTGGGCCGGGAAGCCAGCATCCCAGCCAATCATCATCGAGCCGGCCAAACAGCATTGCGGTGGCTTCCCGGCCAATCAGGAAGCCGGGAGGCGGGTCTATGTTACCTCGCGGCACTGCCAGTCAGGAAATTTCCCTCTGACTGGAAGTTCCTGTATCAGAGTATTTGAGCGAGTCCGAGTACTAGCATCAGTATCGGTGCATCCATAACCTTAACTATTAACAAAAATGTATCTTATTTGTGTATCACTCGGCTGTAGATCCTCAAATCATCTCTGAATTGGTGCTGACACTGTCCTTCCTTCTGGAGGGGGGCTACTTTTGTTCCCTATGGTCCCTCAGTGTGTTGTAAAGTATCCACCGCTCCAAGCTCGCTCCTGTGATGGACTACAGTCTCAATACAAATTAGTAAACTAAACATGAGATTGTAGCGTGTCACAGGAGCTTGAATACATTTTAAAGTTGTAACTCCTGAGTTTAGTGTCACTTTAATATCTATGAAAGGATAAAGTAACAGCATGCAGTAAATGTAGTTTTTTTTTCTTTTCTTTTATCATGCAGGCCTCCCAGTAGATGATTTCTTGGTAAGACTTGTCCAGTTAAGATACGGGGACCAAGCTGGCTTTCTCAGCTATCATCATTTCATCTGCTGTCTCTTAAAATTTCAAAGTCTGACCGGTGAGTCTCAGAAGCTTGGTCACAAGACTAAAACAGAACTGTAGCCTAAATGGATTGTCTACCTAAAAGTAATTGTCAGGTTATGGTTTTAAGCTGATGGACTGAGCCTGCCCCGGCTTCTTATATGTCTGGGATATTCCAACAGCAAGATCTTTTTGGTATATATTTTCCAACTCTGTTCCTGTTTAATTAGTTTTGGGTAGAGAAGGGAAGAGTTATGGTGCCACTGTCATTTTTATATTGCTGTTTTTGTCCCTAATATGGAGATTTAGCCTGGCCATACACTATGGGGGTGATTTATAACTCTATGGTTGCACGGCACTGCTGCCGCTAAATGGTGAGAGGAGCATAGGAGCTTCCTATGCTCCTCAGCACCATCTACTGGCAGTAGTGCCATGCGAATGCCATTCACCCAACTATAAGCTGAGTGATAGTTATAAATCAGCCTCTGAATATTTTCCTATTCAGCCTAATTCTTTCAGGAAAAAAACTATCTCCCCCTAATAGCTAACAGCGTGGATGGGATTGAATCCCATCCACGTGGGAAGAGTCATGGACTGCAGCCACTGTTTGGCCAGGTTTTCAGGCTGGCTTCTTCAACAAAAGTTTATTCGAAAAATCCCCAGACTGGTCAACACACTGATCACATTTTGAGTCAACAGGACAAGCGTTTAGCAAGCTTTACCCTCATTTTTGCCCTTGCCACGAAGAGAGAACATTTTGAAAAATTCAAGATGTTATAGTTGTCTTGCAAAGGAGACAACTGTTTTACTGACAACTGTCTAAGAGGGAAATTCCCCTCAATTTGTAGAGATTTACTCTCACTTCCTGTTGTGTTTTTCAGGACAGGAAGGGATGATAAATCTCCCCAATGGGACAATGACTACAAAAAAAAATGTAACTGACAGGTTTTAACCTTTCCTTGCTCTAATCAAAACTAAAGCAAAATGTTTTGGCCTTACATACACTTTATCTACCACCCTTTGCATGTGCCAGCTCCTTCTGTTGCAATCTCATAATACAAAAAAAGAACAACAAAATCAATTATGGAGAGCAGCACTCTATCTTAAGGGCCACAGCGGACATGCAGACTGAGGACCTCAAGTGCAGATGTCAGACCAACAGTATTTCTGAGAAATTGTCAGATGGTTTAATTCTCCAGTATGTGGTAAAATATGAGAACTCAATATTGGGTGGACAGACCCTTTGAACACACAGTGGTATTACTGCATGTATTTCATGAAAGTTGTGCAAATCTTTACCAATGTTATGTATATTCCACAGAGAAGTTCCAGGCTGCAGATCCCGCAGGCTCTGGCACAGTAACTCTAAGCTACCGTCAGGTAGGTATGCAGTTGAACATAATTCTTAATACCACTAGACATATTGTGCAGCCTTCTGGGCACTTTGCACATGTTGTCTCCAATCAATCTATATCAACATATAAAGCATTCCCTGCCTTACAACATTCACTCACATAGGATACTTATTGCACTCCCTACCATAAGACAGCAGGTATGTGATCTAGCTGAAGCAAACTGGCATTGTTATTATGGAGAATTTGACAACACAAGCATGTAACATATCTGACATTTCCATATTATACCTTAGGCACATGTACTGTATATGGAAGAAGTTTTCTTTTTTTTTAATCTGCAGCATGTTTGACATTCTCACCTTAACATGTTTTAATGTGTAAAACAAAAAGAAGTGGGCAGAACTCTGTAAAACATGCACATATTTCCTGTGCCCATTGGGCTAACACAATGTAAAACAACATGAGGGAAATAAAAGAGAACTAAGGCTTAAACTGGTTTTCTTTAGGGTCACAGGAGGACAAATACCAATGTCCTCCTGCGACCCAAAATTCAGGAGGCTATTGCCCACTATATGCTGACAGCGCAGAGCCGTGCTGCAGCTGGAACGGATCCCGACAATATTGTCCGGATCCATCCCACTGTTTGATTGACAGCTGGCTATGCCCGCCCCCTCTCCTGTCTGTCGTTCCAATCAGTGCTGGAGGATCAGAGAGGGGGGGGGATCCATGCGGGGGGTAGATGGTCGGGAAGTGAGTGATCAGCGGTATGTGGTCGCTCAGTTTTCAATCAATAGAGCCGAAGTGTGACAGTTGCAGTGTCACACGTTGGCTATAATTATAGGCATGAGTGTATTTCACTCTCCCCATAATTCTCCTTTAACAAGTCTTAGGGTTCATTCACACTATGGGGTCTATTCACAAAGCTGCCGAGGGCAGCCGAGTGAATGACCGATCAGAAGTGAAGTGAGCCGAACACTGTTCGGCTATTCACTTCAGGCTGGTACGGCTGATTTCAGCCGTACATCGGCTTGCTTCGTGTGGCTTCGGATCAGCCGAACATGCTTAGCATGTTCGGCTGACCTGAAGTGCAGAAGGAGTTCGACTCAGCCGATCCAACATCTGGATCGGCTGAGCCGAACCTCCGGCAGGCTTCACACTGCTGTTCGGGCTATTCTGAAAGATCCCGAACAGCAGTGAAAGAATAGCCGAATGCCGCCGAGCGGCATTTGGCTCGGCTGTTCTGCTCGGTCCCTCAGAGGCACCGAGCAGAACAGAAAAAGAGTGAAAAAAGTAGAAAAAAGTTAATAGAAAACGATTGTGCAGAGCTAGCAGTGACAGCTAGCTCCGCCCAATAGTTTCCTATTGTCCGGCGGCTCTGCTGCTGTAAAAAAATAAAAATAAAAAAAATCCCCCGGGCGCTCTGGGAGCCCCCCGCTCCCGGCCGCCAAGAAGAGAAACCCGCTGTGTCTTTTTTTTCCTTTATTCTGACACGAGCATGTCAAAAGACAAAAAAAAAAAAAGACGAATTCCCATTCAAAAGCATTGGGAGTTTACTATTGGCTATTTCAATTTGCAATAGCCAATAGTAAACTAGCATTGTACCCGCCCTCTGCTGATGGACCTGATGGGGAACTGAAAAAGAGGGCGGGTACAATGCTAGTTTACTATTGGCTATTGAAATTGAAATAGCCAATAGTAATGTCCCAATGCTTTTGAATGGGATTTTTTCTTTTTTTTTTTCTCTATTCTGACATGCTCGTGTCAGAATAAAGAAAAAAGACACAGCGGGGTTTTTCTCCTTGGCGGCCGGGAGCAGGAGACTCCCGGGGCGCCAGGGAGAGTTAGATGTTTGGAGATCAGTGTCCCTGGTTAGCAACCAGGGACGCTGATCTCTCTGAAAGTGGCCGGAGCCAGCCGTAAGATCACGGCTGGCTCCGCCCAGCTGTCAGAAGCAGGCTGTCGGCCGGCCAATGGCCGGCCGCTCGGCCAGCTTCGTCTTTCAGCACGGCTCAGCGCTCGACTGAGCTGCTCGGCCGTGATCGGGAGCTGTACGGGCTATTGTGAATAGCCCGTACAGCACCCCCTCGGTTCTCCTGAACCGAAGGGGTCCTGGGGCCGAAGCCAGCCGAAGGATCGGCCGAAGCTACGGCCAGATCCTTCGGCAGCTTTGTGAATAGACCCCTAAGTGTGAATATGGGTTTGGGATTCCTGTATCAGAAACCTATACATTTTTGCGGCCTTTTAGAATCGGCCACTGTCACCTGTTCAAGCTAATGATGACAGTGGCCGCATCTGTAAGCGGCATTAGGCATGTAATACGATTACATGCGGTTAGAAAAAGATTATTATCCCTGGATCCATCATAGATGTGGAAGCAGCAGTCTCTCTGTATGTTCTCTGTATAGGTCTAATCACAGGAATTTCCCCAGCACACACTTTAGAATTTCAAATACCAATATTCCATTGATATATTTATTTTGTGAAAATTTCACATCATTTGGTCATCATCATGCTAACGTTTCGGGACCTCGCAGGGACCCATCATCAGAGCAATACAGTGACAGAATACATTGGTGAACACACAACTATATATACACATCAGTCCCTTAATTATTTGCTCTTGGTGATAGAGGAGGTAAAGAATCAACTAGGTCAACTAGGTTAACCAGGATAGTTTTGCCCCGACTGTACCACGGCTGCCTCTGGTCTCCGGTCACATCACCGTCCACAGTCAGCTAGGATTGACGCATTTCAGGGGCATACCACTTCATCAGAATCATTAATTTTGCCCTACAACCTCTGGTTAAGTCACTACCATCATATGTGAGAGACACTGGTGATTTTCTGGAAAAACTACAAAAAAATTGAAGATTTTCCAAAGGACTGGATGCTCCTTACAATGGACATTTCGTCCTTATACACATGTATCCCCACAGGAATGGGGCTAAGAGCAGTAGGACACTTTCATCACAAAAGGACTGTGGTTGAACCACCCACTGATTTTCTGGTGGAATGCTTGCGTCTAATATTGTATAACAACTATTTTTGCTTTGAAAAATGTTTTTACTTGCAGACAAAAGGCACTGCCATGGGAAGCTCTGCTGCCCCCCCCCCCTATGCAAACCTGTTTGTGGGCTTGATGGAGGCGTAACATATCTTTCCATCTGATCACCTTAAATGTGTAAAAATGTGGGTTTGCTATATCGACGACATCTTTGTGGTATGGACGGGCATGCATGATGCTGCAAATGCTTTTGTACTGTTTTTGAACTCTATTGCAATTGGGATAGAATTTAACCCCGAGATGTCACACACTTTGATTTCTTTCCTTGACATATGAATAACAGCCAAGAATGACTGTCTGACCACTCCTCTCTACAGTAAACCCACCGACCGTGACACATTCTCAGTTACCATAGTACACACCCTGGAAGGCTAAAGGATACACTCCCAATATCACAATTCCTAAGAGTCATGCGTATTTGCTCAGACAGTGATGACTGTATAACCCAGCTACGGGCCATGTATTGTAAATTTCTTGAAAGGGGATACCTGGAGGATGTTCTACAATGCACATTGGACTGCGCAAGAAATAGACTACATACACCAAAGTCAACTACTAATGAAACCGAAAAAAACACATTCATCACTACATACAACCCTGAAACACGTGACATCAGGAAAATATTGGGCCAAAACAACCGCCTCCTTCAGGCCGATAAGGCACTCACACCTGTTGTAAAACAGACACCATGGGTCAGTTACTCGAAAAACAAATCTATTAGAGACCGTTTGGTCAAAGCAGACCCCACTGACAAATACACGACCCCTGCTTTTAGCTTTTTCGTCCAGGAAGGGGTGTTTCAAATGTTTCAATTGCAATGTTTACAACTCCATTATAGTCAGAGATTCTTTTACACATCCCCATATGGGCCAGAAATACATGATCCCCGGGTATTACAATCGCAACACTGACCACTGCGTATACATCTTGAAAATGTCCCTGTTCGCTTGTATATGTTGGAAAGACGATCAATGCTTTCAAAAAGAGATATCAAAAACACAGAAGCGTCATTGAGTTGGCCATAGAGCAGCATAAAGATGGGGGGGAGATGGACCCCGATCAGCCAGTCGCCATCCACTGCGCCAAATATAATCACCAGGTACACGAACTACGGGCGATGGTAATAGAACAAGTACCCAAACCTCCCCGGAGTGGCAATCACAATCATATATTGTTGCGCAGGGAAATATTCTTGATACACACTTTGGAGATGAGGCATGCCAGAGGTCTCAATAGTACCATATCTTTCACCTGCTTTCTCATGGCCTGATATGACATTTCCTGTTTGATAGCCTATCCGTCATTAATGTTACATGGATGGTTTACAATTACTTGATCCCTCATTAGGTGTTACTATGAGTTCATCCATAATGTAGGCTGCATTAGACGCAAATGCGATCAACACCTGGTTGTGACTAACAGATTATATGGATTGGAGCTACATTCACCATATTTATTCCCAGATAATTTTTTGTACAAGTCATTCTGAATTGAGAAAGCTGGTTGGATGACCAGTGAAACGTCTTCAAGAAAAATACAGCAAGTCCAGTTGCCTTGACTTAGTTTTTACATATATACCATGACCTGGATGAATGAGAACCTTCACAGAGCTAGGCTGCACTGTATTCTGCTCCCCTCCCCACCAATACACTTTTTGCTCTCATATCTTCCTATTCATATACTGTATGTTTCTTCAACTAAATCTGGTTTTCCTCTGCGTCCAGCCTGCCCCTTGCTTCACGTCATATTAACACGAGCGGCTACGGTTGACAGTCTCGCAGCTCCGACCGCTACTTAGCAACCGCAGGACGCCGGGGGCAGATCTATAGTCTCCAGTGCGTGCGCAGTCTGCATTGCAATCCCGGCGGGGATCGCACAGACTCCCTTGCTCTCCACGCTACGACTGTTGTCATGGCAACCGGGGACGCGGCTTGCTCAACATAACAAGCGATTACTGCAGGATACTCTCCACATACATACAGCATGAGTAGCTGTATGGTTTAGGTATGATTTTTATTTTGCAATTCTTCTGACAAATTTAGTTTTATTCTGCTTCGCAATTTGCATTTTTTGCATTTTGGCGGGAATTACGTCACTATGGCGTCATCTTTTGTTCTTTTTTGCACCCAGACTGATGTGTAAATATATTGTTGCGCAGGGAAATATTCTTGATACACACTTTGGAGATGAGGCATGCCAGAGGTCTCAATAGTACCATATCTTTCACCTGCTTTCTCATGGCCTGATATGACATTTCCTGTTTGATAGCCTATCCGTCATTAATGTTACATGGATGGTTTACAATTACTTGATCCCTCATTAGGTGTTACTATGAGTTCATCCATAATGTAGGCTGCATTAGACGCAAATGCGATCAACACCTGGTTGTGACTAACAGATTATATGGATTGGAGCTACATTCACCATATTTATTCCCAGATAATTTTTTGTACAAGTCATTCTGAATTGAGAAAGCTGGTTGGATGACCAGTGAAACGTCTTCAAGAAAAATACAGCAAGTCCAGTTGCCTTGACTTAGTTTTTACATATATACCATGACCTGGATGAATGAGAACCTTCACAGAGCTAGGCTGCACTGTATTCTGCTCCCCTCCCCACCAATACACTTTTTGCTCTCATATCTTCCTATTCATATACTGTATGTTTCTTCAACTAAATCTGGTTTTCCTCTGCGTCCAGCCTGCCCCTTGCTTCACGTCATATTAACACGAGCGGCTACGGTTGACAGTCTCGCAGCTCCGACCGCTACTTAGCAACCGCAGGACGCCGGGGGCAGATCTATAGTCTCCAGTGCGTGCGCAGTCTGCATTGCAATCCCGGCGGGGATCGCACAGACTCCCTTGCTCTCCACGCTACGACTGTTGTCATGGCAACCGGGGACGCGGCTTGCTCAACATAACAAGCGATTACTGCAGGATACTCTCCACATACATACAGCATGAGTAGCTGTATGGTTTAGGTATGATTTTTATTTTGCAATTCTTCTGACAAATTTAGTTTTATTCTGCTTCGCAATTTGCATTTTTTGCATTTTGGCGGGAATTACGTCACTATGGCGTCATCTTTTGTTCTTTTTTGCACCCAGACTGATGTGTATACAGTTGTGTGTTCACCAATGTATTCTGTCACTGTGTCGCTCTGATGATGGGTCCCTGCGGGGTCCCGAAACGTTAGCACGACGATGACATGATGTGACATTTTCACAAAATAAATATATCAATGGAATATTGGCATTTGATATTCTAAAGTGTGTGCTCGTTAAACTCCTGTGATTACTGCTAGTGTATGCACGGCGCCATCGGTCACGTGCGGTCACCTTGAGCACCACAGATAATACTGTAGGAGTGCAAATGGTATTTGGAAACAGTCTGTATAGGTCTGACATACCCAGTGCTAAGCCAGAGTTAGAGCTCTCCAATAAGCAAATCTCACGCTTCCTTTTAACTGGAGCGTTTTAGCTTTGAGGGCCCATTCACACCACATTTAGGTCACCTCCAGACCAGATCAGACTGTTTCCGGACCCAAAATGCATCCCAATGTATCCCTATGCTTTTCCTGGCCTCTGTACCCACCAGCGCAGTCCGTTCCAGACCAGACCAGGAAAATACTGCATGTCTCATTTTGTCTGGTCTGGAAGGCACTGGAAAACATATAAATGCATTAAAAACGCATGGAACGCACCTGTAAGACCATTTTAAGCCAAAAACTCAGCAGGGGGTATGTCAAAACTATAGCAAGGGTCCCTCATTGCAGAGTGCTGGCAGGGGACATGCTTTTCTACTGAGGCCGTGGCTGCTTTCTAAAGGAAACAAACATTAAGACTTTGCATACCATTTGTTTTGATGCACCTGAAATTTATTTAAATGACTTGAACTGAGGGCTTGTTCACACCATGTCCAGATCATGTCAAAACCAGAACAGTTTTTGTCTGCACCTGAAATGCATTCCATGCATTTCTAGGCTCTGTTCACACCAGTGCAGTCCATTCCGGTGGGCACTGGAACACACTGGACTGCACCTGAAAGGCCATTTTAAGCTAAAAAAACGCACTGGAACGTGTCAAAAATGTGTCTAAATGCAATGCACCACGTTACAGATCTGATCAGGAAAATGGTGTGAACCTGGCCTGAAGGTTCAGTGGGCTTTTAACTGGTTTAGTTCAACTGATATACTGGGAAGTAGGAGTAAAATTACGCATGAACACAAATTCAAAAATGCAAACATTTTCGTGTTTACTGGCAGAAGCATGCACGCTGGGAAAACAAGATAATTTACACAATGTACTGAGTGTGTAAATGATCATGCGTGGAGGGCTGCTGCTAAGTATAAAAATCTTATTTTGCAGCATGCTGTGTTCTGCACATAATGCTGAGCTTCCAGGTGCTGCGGGGGTGAAGGGTGCAACTCGAACTTTACGGCCCTCTGGTCGCATCACCTGTCCCTGCCCAGTCACAAAATTTATTTATCTCTAAAGAATACAAGGCACTCTTTGATTGGAGGAGGAGAGATGATGTCACATCCCCGCCCCTCCTTCACAGAATGCCTCCAATCACAAAATATGAAAATAAATTTCTCCAATGTGAACTCCCATCTTATATAGTTTGCACAGGAAAAGGTGTCTCTCTTTGAGGATTTTCCTTCACCTTTTGTTCTATACCAGGGGTAGCCAAACTCCAGGCCCTCCAGCTGTGGTGGAACTACACATCCCATAAGGCATTGCAAGATTCTCACAGCCATGACTCCCGGAGAGAGATGCATCATGGGATTTGTAGTTTCACCACAGCTGGAGGGCCGGAGTTTGGCTACCCCTGTTCTAGACAATTCAAAAAGTTTGGATTTCCTATCATTTCATGTCCCGGTGACAATGGTCACCAGGGCAAATAGAGGGGTGACAAAGGGTCTAACCCTTCTGCGCTCTACTCATAACTAAAAAAAACTTCATTTTACATGCCGTTTAACATACCTTTATACAAGCAAAAGACAATATAATCTGTTTTATCTGCAGTGGCTACTACTGGCTGTGTACAGCTGAAACAATCTCCTAGAGAACTAGGACCACGTTGACTGTGTGCAGCATGAATTAGACACATACAAGAATATGGGAATTTTGGTTTACTGTGTAGAAGATGGAAAGAAGGACCGAAAAATGTCTGAAACAGCATTTCAACATCTGCCATCAAGAGAGCATTGCATGGAAAATGGGCTGCATCTGCCCAGCGGTATTACCCCACAGAATTGTTTTCCTGAAAGGGCATTCTGTCAAGATGGGATAAAACATCCTACCTCAAAAACTCTATTTCACAACCATCTTGTTACTTTGTGTGTAATGTATTGTTATCTGTGGACTCTAATAAGCCAACAATGTCATAAATATGATCATAATAAAAAAGCAAGACTGAAGCAATTCCTCATCTCAGTACAGACATACAGGTACAGTATATATGTAGAGAACCGTGGAGGGCTGTGCTACAAAAATTTTAACCCGCGCATGGTAACGCACTGGAGAAAGTGTGGAGGGACCCTTAAAGTGACATTAAACCCTCAGATTGTTCAACATAAACCAATACTGTAATGTGTGCCTTACTGTAATCCATGGTTGTTTCCCTTCTCTTTGCTGCTCTTCCTTTTAAATCTGTATCTCTTCTCATGCTGGGGCAGAACTTCCCTTTGCAGCTGAGGGCCTCTTACTGTAGTGCTGGCTCAGGTTGTGAACCTGCACACAGACACCATGCATCCATTCCAGAGACAAGGCAGTCTGCTGCAAAACAGAAGTTCTGCCCAGCATGAGAAGATATACAGATTTAAAAGGAAGAGCAGCAAAGAGAAGGGAAACAACCATGGATTACAGTAAGGCACACATTACAGTATTGTTTTATGTTAAAAAATCTGAGGGTTTAATGTCACTTTAAGGAAAACAGAAATGCAGTTGATTGAACATTTTAAAGGAAAAAATCATCAAAGGAGGTTACTGAGAGCAATAAGCGGGTTGTCATTGCAAAACTTCTTATGACATTTGCTCATTTCCTGTGTGTCTCTAGCTTTGACATGTCACTGACAGGCATGTGGTAGCTGAACTCAGAGCCAGGCCCTAGAATTCCTTTCTACATACTTTTACACTCAGTGACTTACATATTATTGATGTCATCAGATTGGCATGCAACAGGAGAGATCAGTGACGTCCTTCAGTACAGGTTTCCTTTAAGTGTATAAAAAAAATTCAACCAAACTTTTTGAAATGCTTATTCAGTAAACAGGTAAGTTTTTGTGGAACTCTAGACACTAGAGTGGATGTGAAAAAAAAAGATAGCCTTTTAGAGGCAGCTCTCTGTTAACCAGGGAATCTCAAAGAACCCCTTGAATGACCTGTAGAAAATTGGGAGCATAAGAGACCCACACAGTTTCAACAAGTCCAGCAAGACTTTTATTTATTAAGACACATAAAATGAAATCCAATGCATTTCGGGGGTTCAAGTCTGCTGCAAAACAGAAGTTCTGCCCAGCATGAGAAGATATACAGATTTAAAAGGAAGAGCAGCAAAGAGAAGGGAAACAACCATGGATTACAGTAAGGCACACATTACAGTATTGTTTTATGTTAAAAAATCTGAGGGTTTAATGTCACTTTAAGGAAAACAGAAATGCAGTTGATTGAACATTTTAAAGGAAAAAATCATCAAAGGAGGTTACTGAGAGCAATAAGCGGGTTGTCATTGCAAAACTTCTTATGACATTTGCTCATTTCCTGTGTGTCTCTAGCTTTGACATGTCACTGACAGGCATGTGGTAGCTGAACTCAGAGCCAGGCCCTAGAATTCCTTTCTACATACTTTTACACTCAGTGACTTACATATTATTGATGTCATCAGATTGGCATGCAACAGGAGAGATCAGTGACGTCCTTCAGTACAGGTTTCCTTTAAGTGTATAAAAAAAATTCAACCAAACTTTTTGAAATGCTTATTCAGTAAACAGGTAAGTTTTTGTGGAACTCTAGACACTAGAGTGGATGTGAAAAAAAAAGATAGCCTTTTAGAGGCAGCTCTCTGTTAACCAGGGAATCTCAAAGAACCCCTTGAATGACCTGTAGAAAATTGGGAGCATAAGAGACCCACACAGTTTCAACAAGTCCAGCAAGACTTTTATTTATTAAGACACATAAAATGAAATCCAATGCATTTCGGGGGTTCATGAATCCCCCTTCATCAGGGCTAAGAAATAAGGTAACATAAAATGATATGAGCTGAGTATGTAAAACTGCAAACAATGGCATACAGTTTATTAATAATAATAATCATGCATAAAGTGAAATTACCTGAGTATCTAAAACTGTAAGTAGTATATAGCATAATAATTATTATTACACTATATACTGGGGATGCACCGATACCGGTATTTTGGTACCGAGTACGAGTACTAGGGATGCACCGATACCGATACTAGTATCGGTATCGGTGCAGATACCAAGTATTTGGGTGAGTACTCGTACTCGCCCAAATGCTCCGATACCTAGCACGAGTACTTCCTGTATCAGGAAGCTGGACAGCGTGTCATTATACGCTGCCCGGTTTCTTGATTGGCCAGGAAGCTAGCAAATCCAGAAGCCGGGCGCTGTGTAATGACGCAGCGCCCGGCATTCTGATTGGCCGCGAAGCCGGCGTCATGCTCCCTCGTCATCTCATGAATCATAATATTAAGAAAGTGACCTTAAAGCATTAGTTTGTATTGCTTTAGAAAAAATGTGACCTGTCCCTTTAAGAGAAAGTATCGGTAATTGGTATCGGCGAGTACTTGAGCAAAAGTATCGGTACTCGTACTCGGGCTTAAAAAAGTGGTATCGGTGCATCCCTAACGAGTACCGATACTTTTTTCCCGGTACTCGCCGATACCAATTACCGAGTTCCCAAAGTCCCATTCAGGAAGCCAGGTGGCATGTAATGACTTGCCACATGACTTCCTGATTAGCCGGGAAGCCGGGCAGCGTGTAATGACTCGCCACACGGCTTCCCGATTAACAAGAAAACCGTCCAGACTATCTTAGCAGGAATCACGTGGACCCTACCGAGTGGTCTCTTTCTAAACGGATCTTCGACTGTCTAGCTCGGAAGTATGGCAGGCCACAAGTGGACCTAATGGCCTCTTACAAAAATTGTCAGGTCAATAGGTTCTTATCGAGAAGGTTCGACGCGAGAACGGAGGCCCAGGACGTCCTATCGCACCCATGGTATGTTTTTCCCCCGTTTCCGATGATGTCAGTGCTCCAGAGAGTGGAGCAAGAGAGGGTGACGGTCATTGCCATCGTTCCTTATTGGCCCAGGAGGCCGTGGTTCCCTCTTCTGATGTCCCTGAGTGTCCAGGATCCAGGAAGCCAGGTGGAGTGTAATGACTTGCCACCTGGCTTCCTGATTAGCCGGGAAGCCGGGCAGCGTGTAATGACTCGCCACGCGGCTTCCCGATTAAAAAGTAAGGCGGCCCATACGACTCCCCATAATAATAATAAGATCCAGCATGTGTCTGCAGTGTGGATCTCTCTCCCCTCTCACCTCGGCATGTCCAGCCTGTCACCCCCAGGGCCTCTCCAGCCAGGAGCGGCCTTCCTCCAGTACCCAGCAGCGGAGCCATCGTGCTAGCCAATCATGGAAGCCGGGCGCCGTTTAATGACGCGGCTCCCTGCTTTCTGATTGACTGGGAGGCTGGCTCCATGCTCCCTCGTCATGAGATGACGAGGAAGCATGAAGCCGGCTTCCAGGCCAATCAGAATGCCGGGCTCTGCGTCATTACACGGCGCCCGGCTTCCTGATTGGCTAGCTTCCCTACCAATCAGGAAGCCAGATCCAGATTGGCCGGGAAGTCGGCTCCATGCTCTCTCATCACAAGTGACGAGAGAGCATGGAGCCGTTTCCCGGCCAATCAGGAAACAGGGCAGCGCGTAATGACGCGCTGCCCGGCTTCCTGATACAGGAAGTATCGGGCTAGGCATCTGAGTATTTGGGCGAGTACGAGTACTCGCCCAAATACTCGGTATCGGCACCGATATCGATACTAGTATCAGTATTGGTGCATCCCTACTATATACCTTATAATGTTTATATCCTTATAACCTTATATCCTTATAATGTTATCCATTAAACAGGGCAAAGGACTGAATTTCAATATACAATCTCAAACAATTAGAATTTCTTTACATGAGTCAGTGTCAGGGTTCCACCCTGACTTTAGTGGTTTGCCACATTCTGGCTTGGCTGCCATTTTACTCGCCTGTGTTTCCTTCTTTGCCTGAGCAGACTCTGAGCATCATCTGAGAGAGTCAGATGTGAGTTTCCTGTCTCTGAGTGATGATGTCACCCCACTCACTATATATAAACCACTCAGTCCAGTCTGACCTTGCCCTTGCGTGGTCTTCCTGCTAGTGCGTTCCTGCTGCTGAGTATCCTGATTCTGTGTATGACCCGATCCTGGCTGACATTCTCCTCTGGCTCCTGACAACGCTGATTTTGTGGCTTCTGCTCCTGGCTTGTTCCTGACAACGCTGATCTCCGTGTTCCTGACCTGGCTTGGACGACTACCCACTCCGGCTCCTGACTTTGGCTTGTTCCGGTTTATGATTCTGCTTGTTCCTGTGTACACTGTTCTTAATAAATATTTTAACTAGCACCTTTTGCTTGTCTGGTTTTCATTGTTCTCTGACAGTCAGATCTTGGTCTGGCATATACTATGTTCTAATTGATTGCTATCAGTTCTACAATATTTTGATAAAAGATCTGTTGCGGTATCCTCAGGGATTGGAATTCCATTGTCCAGAACCCATACAAGCACAAAGCTGTTTGAACCCTGGGTATGAATCTTTATGGACGATGATATTTTATCATGGATGTAATATGAAAAAAAGGATCAATCGCATTTTATATACTATAATTTTTTTTTTTTGCTTTGTGATATAAAGTGCTGCCCATAAACAGGTACACAACTAGGATAGCCAAAGGACTCTGGCCTGGAATGTATATGTATTTACATATGGATTAGTGTATAGAATGTGATTGGTAATGATTAACTGGACAATTTCT